CTAGTATAAATAGGTAATAAAAGTAGGTAAATATGCTAGTAGATGTAATCTGCAGCTACTTCTTCAGCTCGTCCTCCATCCCTCGTCCTCAGCAGGCAGCAGCATGATTATATTGTCCTGTTGGAGCTCTGACAGCTGGTGTTCCTACATGTTGAAATTAAATCCACAATGCTCAGAGAAACTACATTAGCTCGTACTGTTCACACATAACAAATGCTGGTTCTGGTGCGCAGCGGCAGTCGCGCCCATTATTCAAACAAGGCACCATTGGGGCTAGGAAAAAGGTGGATAGTCTCACGCTTTTCCAGATTCAAATGTTCAGCATTTTCTGCAATTTTTCACATCACATCATCTCTAACTTTGTAAAAATACAACAGTGGGTTTATTATCTTTATGCCTCAAACACATAAGTCAGTCGATGGTCTTAAAACCAGCGTAAAAGTCTTCTTCTATATAATAGTTGTAGTGAACTAGGCCTCCGACACCAATCTGTCTCTGAAGACCTTCAGGGGACAGGAACTGTTATTTCATTGATTTGAATCCAGAAATACAAATTATCTCATCAAGAGACCATTTAATTGTATCCTGAATTAATCAATTGAAAGAACACTCTTCTTTTTTTCATTATCATTACTATTTTAGAATATCTTGATAATCAAAGTGTGTTTAGTTCATACCATTTCTAAATGTTGAAATGAACAACTCATTTTAAATCAACTGTGAAACAGTATTAATGATTTTTAAACCTTATTAGAATTAGAAATCAAGTTAAATGTCTATTTACAAAGTAATTATGCTTTTTGATCTTCTGTCTGAATGAGGAGTAGTGATGTCGGTCGAAAGTCAGAGACAGTCAGAAAGCCAGTTATTAGAACGAAGTGTCTTGTTTTTAAACCTAGCAGACGGTAAATAAGAAACTAGCACCTGCAAAGTTTCTCACTTCTTCAAACCATTTCTCTGTCTGTACTAAACGTTCCTAAACATTCCTGCTGTCTTTTTGACTCCTAATAACCCTCTGACATCGCTGAAACACCGCCCCTGCTGGTTGTTTCAACCAATCAGGAAGTACCGATTGACCGGAAGTGAGTACTCTTTAAAAGTCAACACTTCCTGGAACTATTCAGTCTTCTGAGTCTTCTTGAGTCTTTCACCGGAGTCTTCCACCTCTGAGTGGAACTTCGGACTCAGTCTTCTTCAGTCTTCCTGGAGTCATACTCAGTTTTCCTGAGTCTTTCTTGGGACTATGGAGTCTTCCTGAGAGTTCCTAAGGAACTTTCAGATTTAATCAATAGCTAATGGATTTGACCGTGAGACGAGGGTTCGTCCATCCCAGCGGAGTTACAGCGCCTCGCTGTGAACTCACCCGGGCGTAACGCCTTACAACTTCGAAGGAAGCTTGTTCTGTTGAACGGAGTAAACCACACGACTTCTGACGATGACCAGCCACCCTGACCGGAGACGCTGTACAGGTAGCATGCATAGGGACATCTAGACCGGAGCTGATCCATCCTCTGCAAAGGTAAAGAGACGTCACGAGTTGCCACGCACCAAGTGGACCGGGGGTTTGAGCTGGTGTTGAAAGAAGCGAGCTAATTCTGGTCAACAAACATACATCTTCCTTCATCCATCTTCCTTTTAAATCCATTCCTTTCCTTAAACTTTTATTTGCCAGTAATCTAGATGCCTTCAGAAATGTTCTGTTGTCCTGTTGGTAAAGCGTGCCAAGTTTTTATTAATCAGAAACAGATCAGCAAATCAAAGTGTACATGTTTTGATGTTAAATTTTGATTCTGTTAAATAAATGACCGCATTTATTCTGATGGGTCAAAGATAAAATGGCGTCTCATGTCACTGATTAAACACTCCTCACAGTTATCTCGGCCACATGACAATAATTTAACTTGAAAAAGAAAGAATCCGTTGTATTTAAATAATTAATATACTTTGTGCATAAACTAGCTTTAAGAATAATTAATTAGTAGTGAAGCTACAGCAAAGCTGTCCCCTACATTCACTACATAGTTCTATTCAGTTGTTAAAACTGTGTTTCCATTTAAAGTAAAATAAAACCCTTTGAACGTGTTATGGCTGAGCTACCTCGTGACTGAAAACTGCACACTGGACGTGTAACATGATCTTAGCACAAAAAGTAAAACATTTAGTGATTGCTGCATTATTTCTCTGTTGGAATGCTTCTTGGCAATAAACTTGACAATGGAATACCTGTTTTCCACTTCAATGGTACCACATTTATTAAAAAAATGCACGTTTGAGTTCTGCCCATGAAAAACTTGCCAAATATGTGCTGATGCTAAACAGCTTCTTCTGCTGTTGCCTCTTGTTTAAAGTTTCTGGTACCCCAGGTTCAGGGGCCGGACTGACCACTGAATGACATGGCCTGTGAGGAACCAATAGAAAATCCATATCTCCACAGTCTGGGACCAAACTATCCCCAGAGGTGACAACATCTGCCCCCACAGAGTGGGATTTATCAGAAAGCACCTCCAGAGTTTGGGAGTGGAGAGGACAGAATGTCCTGACCTGGACACTGTGGGGTCAGCTTGAACGGGATGTTCGTTTGACTGGGGAGCAGCATGAGGAGGAGGTGCCAGGCTGTTGTGGCTGTGTATGGTTCTTCCACATGCTACTGAAGCCCCATTAGTTAAATGAAAGCACATTTTACAAAAATTCAAGAACTTGATGGAAATGAAAAAGTCATTGAAAAGCCAATTTGTCTTGTTTCGTCAAACTTTAATCTCTCAGTCAAATAAACAACAAACAAGAATTAATAGCAGATTAAGCTGTTCGGCAGAAAAGATTGGGCAAAATTTTCATGAGCTCAACTAAAAAAACTCAATGCATTTTCCTGATGAATATGGCACATTTAGGGAGCAAAGACAGGTTTTGTAATGGTGTAACAGTTAATGCCAATAACATTGTTACAACAAATAAATAACCAAACAAAGATGTCCTTACTTTCTGTGAATAATCACCTGCTGTTTTACAGACGTGTTCCACAATGTTGTATAATTTCACATCAACATAAAAATGGGGTGTGGACAGGAAACCTTGTTAAAAGAGGGGAACCGTTTTTTTCAGGGGGAACCAGTAAAGTTGTATCAGTATGAAAGAGTCTGGACTGTCAATCAGAAATTCACAAACTCAGACACTAACAGCTAAAACCTTCAGTTCAAAGCTCCATGAGCTGGATGAACCAAAAGTGGACACCATCTTTTATTTTTTTTTATTTTTTTTTGGGGGGGGGGGGGGGACTACTTTGCTATTTTGAACATTTATTATTATTATTTTACTTCATGTTTTAGAAAATGATTCAGGGAACAGAGCCTGGAAGAAAAAAAAAGTCTTTCTGTAATTGGTCTCCATTTCTTCAGGTTTATCTAGACCTTAAAAATACTGAAATTAAATTCCTCACTTTTCAGACTATGTAGAAACTAGGGCTGAACAATTAATTGCATTTGCAATAATATTGCGATATGATAAAATGAGAATTTCTAATTGCAAAGGCTAAAAATATGAATTTAAAATTTGACTTGTGAGTGAGCGGAGCAAAGCAGAGCAGGGAGCAGGAGAAGTCAACACTGAGCTTTAACTGGTTGCACGATGGTGTCAGGCTTGACCGAAGCTGATACTTCTGAAAGTTTGGTACCAAAGAGGAGCAGCACGTCTGTTGTTTGGAATTATTTTGTCTATAAAAACGAAGACGCTACACAACGACATGTATTTTTCAGAACCTGCCTTGCTGCTGTTGCTACCTCTCGAGGTGATATAAAAATATGTTTTATAAAAATATATTAAGTTGCCTTTATGCCTATTCAAACATATACATTTTGTGTGTGTTACTTTTCAGAATTAAATGTCTAAATTGCCATAAAAGGCAAGGGTGGAATGATATAGGAATGATTATTTTGATGCTTTTATGTCAATTAATACTTATACTCACTTTTGATGCAGCTTATCTGCTTAAAGTCAGGCCTGTGCTGCAGATGTGTTTTGGAGTAATTAAAGTTCTCTGGGGGATGCTCTAGCCAGAAGACCTGGCCCAATCTTAAGGTTACGGTGACCCAGATTTTGAAGGACATGTTTTTATGAAGCCATCGCTCTGTTGCACAGACTGCTTTGATGATGGAAAAACAGATTTAATTAAATCTGTCCTCCTGGCAACCATCAAACTTGTTTTTCACTGCTCTCACGCGATCCGGTCGGGAAGGGGTATTTAAGGAGCACAAATACTGTGACAAAGGGGAAGTCTTGTGTGGACCAGCGCGCGGTGCCATGCAGTTGTGATGTGAGTTCTGTCATTGGATCGAAAGGCTTCCCGATCACTTGTCACGGTGAGAGATACTCATATCAATTTGTGTGTTAAGAGTGTACAAAGTGTACATGACTTTGCTTGGCTGTTTTTCTTGTGGCAGATTAATAAATGACAATATTATTCTAGCAAGTTACAGTCCCTTGTGTTTCATTTTCCTCTTGTCTGAACATCTGGTGCCGATCGCTCACGAACCCTTTGATAAAGAATTTCATAATACACGAGGTAACACCACAAATCTTTATCAACACTTAAAAAAAGTCACAAAGACATTTATGATGGCTGCATGGCTAGAATGCTAACGAGCAGTGTTTCAACTTCAAGTTAGCAAAGTAGCAGCCGACAGGGATCACTGACCGAACTGTTGGAAGGTATCACTCCATATGAACATAATTTGAAACGGCACGTGGAAATAACTCGAGCAGTAACGGAGTTCATAGTGAAATACATGATGCTCGTTAATATAGTGACCAGGCCTGGGTTTACAGTTTTGGTGAACACAGTGGATAAGCGCAACAGAATGCCTTCGCACACATTTTAGCCAAGTTGCCATCATGGAGCTATACAAAAATGCAGAAAGATTTGCAGCGGAGCTGAAAACAGTGGAGTTATTTGCACCTGAAACAGATGTATTAATTGTGTTTGTTGAAAAATATATGAGAATAAGACATTGAAAAATAATCACATATTAAATCATAATCGCAATATTGAGGTTAAAAAAAAAAAAAAAATCGCAATTAGAATATTTTCCAAAATGGCTCAGCCCTAGTAGAAACCTTGATGACCCTGTTTCAGATCTTGGTGGAGCTCTGTGTGCAGCTCCTGTAACGGTGATGTTTACCGTTAGCGCTGACTGGCTGAGGCTCCTGCGGAGACTCGGGCCGACTGGAAGCTTGAGTCTCTGCTGGGATTACTGGAGCTGGGACCGGGGAAGGAGACTGGGGAAGAGGTGGAGATGCCTGAGGGGATGGAGGCCGGCCTCCTGGGGGTGTTGGGTGCATGGCTTCTGCTGTAGGACCGGGGTTTGGATCTAAAAATAAAAAAATATAAATGATAACAAATAAACTCCAGCTTGTGGTGCCATTATACTTGAAGTTCTCCCAAGTACTTCTGGTGATATAACAATTGCAGATTTTGGGGAAACAGATTCTGTAGTCTTCTAATCAGGCTACATTATTCTGACTTTTTGGAGTACCTGGCATCACGGTTTGTTTGAAGAGCTCCTCTCTCAGGTTGGGCAGGAAGCAGACGATTCGCTCCCATGTGATTTCCCACAGGTCTGAGTATCCTGTCCTGGAGTCGGTGCTGTGGAAAATCCCTGCTGTGTCCATCACCAGCAGCATGTTCTTCAGAGACTCTGGGATCGCCTCCAACTGCGCACAAACACAAAAAGAAGGCAAATTAAAAAAAAACTTGAATATCATCTGTGACAAACGCTCAGTTGTTTCCACAGACACTGGGATTTTTGGTATCATCTTCACCAGTAAGTCACTGGATCCTGCATGCATGTATTTGTCCATGAAATCCAGAATGGTGAGCCAGAGGGCAGCGAAGGTGGGCAGGGACAGCAGGGGAGACAGGTGCTGCAGGAACACCTGGACAACACAAACAATGTATGATAAACAATAATCACCTGCAGTATGTCAAATGATTATATGCAACAGCTGCACACTCCATTTTTCACAAACTTAAAAAAGAAACTGCCTGATAAATACCTGATAGATTTGATATTACATAGTGATCAAAATGATCATAAACTAAGTTTTATTTTGTTGTAAAATCAGGATAAAGCTGTAAATGTGGTTTACTTGTGATTTCTACAGTAAAAAAATGAACAATCTGCAGAGAGATGCTTAAAGGAATAACAGTTTAGCTGGTTATGTTGAGCTGACAGTCTCTTTTCGGTTTGAAGGAGCCGAGTGAGATCTCCATGGTAACGGAGGTTGAACTGATTACCTGCTCCGGAGAAAATATTCACGCACATGATCAACAGTACAAAATAGAATGAACTGATGTGAAATACAAGTTGTAGCCTATGGATTTCTATCTTGGATACAATTATCCCATTTGTCCAGAAACTTTAGTTTTATTAATTTACAGAATATTCAGAAAACAATTCTTACAAACTTGAATACACTCATAACTCTGCATTTTCTACCCTTAAAAGAAGAGAGGATGAAGATAGATGTCATGATTTATCCATCGTTATGAACAGCTTTTCACACTCTTCTGATGTTATGTTTATGCTGCGTCACATTGTTCTTTGTAAAACTTTGACGGGTGAAGTTTCCTGGACCCGGTGGTTCACTACAGAAGTTCCAGAGAGCTTGCAGGACAGAAAAAGCTCAAGTAAGTGGCTTTACGCTAAAATAAACTAATGACACAATGCTCATTTATGTGACGGTGGTGGTGAATGCTGGCAGTGAGTAGGCCTGTCACGATAACAAATTTTGCTGAGTGATTAATTGTTGCGCAAATTATTGTGATAAACGATAATATTGTTTGAAATTTGACAATAATTAGTAATTATTGTCAAATTTAAAGAAATGTTGGTAAATTGTTTGTTTGTAGTACCTTTTTTGACCATTGGATGGCAATATAAGACTGTTTGAACAGAAGGATGGATAGTGAGGGAGTGAGCAGCGTGTCTCTTTAAGAACAATGGGAGGGAGGCCCCTTGACGTGACATGGGCTGTCTCTCCTTCCTGTTTTTCGGTTCACAAAATGGCAGACGCTCGGTGTGGTTTGAGCTCTTTAGCATAGCATTTTTCACACAAAGCTTTTAATAAAAAAATCAGTAAACAAGTTCTCAGCTTCTTTTTGCAAAGAAAAACAACTTTTTACACGAAGGCACGAGTTTCAACTGTGAATTTTGGAGCTTCGACAAGACGGAGGTTTTTTCCCAAGGTCAGCCTGTTAGCTTAGCTTCTGAGCTTAGCTGCTTTTAACCGTCCAAAAACACGATTTGGGACGGTTAAAACAGATTTTAAGGAGAAAAGGTCAGTGAAGTGCACTGGAGTTGAGCCTTGTGTCATCCAGTGTCTTCAGTAGAAAAAGAGAGACACAAAGAAACAATAAAGCCGATAAATGAAAACGAGGTTGATAATTTTAATTTATCATGGGATTAATTGATTTATTGTTTATCGCGACAGGCCTAGCAGTGAGTGCTGCTGGATTTGTTGCTCCAAACCTTTGACAGCAGCGTGCAGGCTCTCATTCTGGTCTCCTCCATACCGCCGACGTCTGCAGGACTGATGTTGTCCAGCAGCTTGGTCAACAAGGGGAACAGAACCTGCAGATACACACAGAATCAGCTGGATTCTCCCCGCACCCCCCTTCTGTAATAAAGGAGGTTTGTAATATCCAAAGTGTGGGTCAGCTCTCTTCACACCTTGTTGAAGCAGGACTCCCACTCAGCTGCATCAAGAGTCTGCAGGTCGTGGACCAGCAGCGCTCTCTGGAGGTAGGTGAGGGCCTGCATGCGGACCTGCCGCCTGGCGTCGCAGCACAGCCAAGCAATCCCTGGAGGGGGGAAACCAACCACAGAAGATACAACATCAGCACACATCTGCTTCTTCAACAGCTCTTGAACAACTAATTTCAACATAGTTTTATATTGATTACTTGACTTTATCAATAATTATTATGTTTTATTTGAATAAGTTTGACACTTATATGCAGCATACTGTTTACTGACGGTGCTAAGGGCCCTGCATACTCCATCTGAAGCCCAACAGTCGACTCAGTCACATGGCTGCAGGACGTTCGTCTGTGCACACACCTTTCATAATCCATGAGACACCCCCCCGCTGCAGTATACATCACCATGCAGGTGTCTCTACTCCATTCTCCACTCTGTCCCTGCACCTGCTGTTTGGCCACAAATCGATCATGAAGGAAGCACCACACTTGTCATCAAACAGACTCCTCCACACACAATGTAAGCAGGATCTCCATCCAGGAGTTTTTCACCATTTAACTAATTCAGTGTGTTTGAAGAGTCGTACAGATGAATGTCCGAGTGCATTTCCACACTGACGAACACGCCCACAAACATGTGACCAATCACACAGTACTTGAGGTGTACGCCTGTGAGAAAAAGTTTGTCCTGAGCCTTGTGTCCAGAAGGGGTGGGGAAAGCTACTCTGAGAAATAAATTACGAGATTAACGTTGTGCAACTACGTCAATGAGGTGAATTAGCCGCTTCAGATGGAGTATGCAGAGACCTTTAGACTGAGTGGTTTCTGTAGTGTGACCGTAAAAGTTTGGATAATACAAAAACAATTCTAATGTAGGTTCAGACAGACGTCTCTGTCATTAGGTCAGTTCAGAGGATTCCCTTCCACCTCCAGTCTGACGTGATGCTGTCACCTTGCAGCAGCGGACACCAGCAGCTGGTCCACAGAGTCTGGGAGTCGGCTTCGATCTTCTTGCCAGAGACCTCTAGGTGACGCTGCTCCTCTGCCCAGGAGCTATAGATGCTGGCTGCCCGGGTGTGCAGCGTGTGCATCAGGTCCAACAGCTGCACGGCACAGACAGAGTCAAGAAAAACACGACGGCTTCTTTTCTTTGTGAAGCATCAGGAGATCACTGATGATCAGGAGATCACTGATCATCAGAAGATCACTGATCATCAGGAGATCACTGAAGATCAGGAGATCACTGATGATCAGAACACCACTGATCATGAGATCACATATGATGAGAAGATCAGTGATCAACATGAGATCACTGATGATCAGAAGATCACTGAAGATCAGGAGATCACTGATGATCAGAAGATCACTGATCATCATATCACTGATGATCAGAACATCACTGATCATCATGAGATCACTGATGATCAGGAGATCAGTGTGTTGGGACGACACAGACAGAAGCAAAACAAATGAATAAATGTGAAAACAGATTTGGACTTTAGGATGAAACAATCCACAGAAACAACAGGAAGGAAGTTTGTCTTAATCTCAAAACGTTAGGTGATGATGTCGATCATGGACTTAGGAAAATACAATTAGATCCTGACAAGCTTGTTTTAAACAAATGCTGCAAAACCTTAATACATCTTTAAAAACACTTCTCTCTTCTTAATGTACATTCTACAACATGCAGTCATTCCATCATGGCCAGTTGCTTAACATGAAACATTATAAGATCCGGTCTGCTCCAGGTGTAACCCACCTCCTGCTCACTGACTGCTGGAACACACTCCAGGAGACCAGCAACCCATAAAAGAACAACGTGGTTCCAGAAAATAGACGGAAGCTTATTGTGTCCTCCTGGATCTGGAACAACTCAAACCTTTTTGACCCCAGAACTCCAAGAGACTCAAAATATCTTCTGTGGTATCTGGTACAAAGTCTATAGCAGTCGATCCTTTAAGTCAGGTTCAGGTTAGGTTTATTCAAAGGTCAACAATGCAATGAAATGCTTAGGACGAGAAGAACTGTCTCGACTCACCAAAAAAAACCAACAGCAACAAGAAATATCAAAGCATGCAGCAAAAATACTACTAACATATTAAAAAATACTAACATACTTTAAAAAAATTTAAAAGTCCTGCACGTTGTGAGGTAAGACTCCATAAACTGTACTTGTGTGTCCAGGATGTCTCACAGATGCTCGACAGGATTGAGCTCTGGAATCAGGACTTCAAACATTGGTACTTAACAAGGTCCTATTTAAACGCAGCCTCACATAACAAACAAAGTTTTTAATCACATGTTTATCTTGTGTTGTTTTTATAAGCCAGATGTCAAAGACAAATCTCTATTTAATTGAATGTTATGGACAATAAAGTTGAATTGATTGATTAATTGATTGATTGAAACCATTTTTGACTCATGTCACTGTTTCTATGAGGTGTTGGGGGGACTGGTCAGCAGGAGTGTTTGGGTACATGGTACACATCAAAAGACAAAGGATTTCCCAACAGAACATCGTCCAAAGTAACACACTGCCTCCACTTCTTTACAAAATGCCTCAAAGTGTCATGTGATTAGGCGATGTATCCAACCATCGGCTGTAAAAGTTCACCAGAGAACATTCTTCCATTGTTGGTTTAATATGGACCAGTTTTGCAGCCTGAAACCTAGCAAACCATGATTCTCTGTGTCTTCTGACACCTTCCAATCAGAACCAGCATCAACATGTTTTCAGTAAACTGAGCGACAGAACCTCACTTATTGAATCAGACTAAATAAACCAATGTTCTCTCCACACACCCACAACAGCAAAGCCTTGGCCGTTTCACCAGTTGTCCCTCCATGAACCACTTTTGGTAGATCCTGACCACAACAGAGAGCACAAATGACCTTTGGATTTTAATGTCTGCAGTGGACACGTTAGACAACTGCGTCTGAGTCAGTAACAGGTAGAAGGGTAAAGAGGGTTGTGGTACTTACGTCCTGACTAACCTGTAATGACACAGTATGATAGCTGGCTGGGACGCCCTCATCCTCCTCGTCATCACTATGGGAACGAGATGGACGCTGGCTGGACACCCTACTTCCACCCCGTCTTGTACTGCCTCCAGTATCCTTCTCTCTCCCTCCCACCTTCTTCCTCAGCCGGGACTTGGAGGGGTCATACTTGTGGCTCTTCTTCTTGTCATGGTTCCTGTAACCTGAGGAAACAAGATGTTCTGCATTAAGACATGCATAATGACGAGGTGCAGTATATTTATGGCTGTATAATCTAAAATTCAAACCAGATTCAATTACCAATTAATAGCTTTGTCTGCTGAGAAGAAAATCAGTGCATAGTTTGGATCCACTACTTACACCATCTCTGCATCAAAGCCACAAAGCCAACAGTGTAAATAAAGTGTGAGCAATGTTAACTTCTTTGTGTCAGAGCACAGTTGTTCTTACTGAAAACTTCAAATATGACAGTCTGTCACAAATACTTCATTAAAGTGACTGAAGAAAAACTGTTTTCTCATAGAGCTGCATGTCTTACTGAAGAACAAAAACATTCCTTTAAAACACATGATTTGATTGTATCAGAGAAGAATCACACACTGCACTTCACTTTTCTGACTTGCTCGTGACGAAGACGGACATTTTCTTTTCCCTCTCCTGCTTTTGCTCTTGTCCTGTGTATCAGAGCCTTTGCTTTACACATCTTTCAAGTTGTAAATTATTATGGATCTGGTCAGCTGGACTCTCAATGCAAATTATAAAATTTTCTTGATGAGAAGACGAGGTGCAGGCGAACCCTCATGCCCTGAAGGGACACACACAGCTGGATACCAGCATCATGGATTCCTGGGGTGTGTGGAATATGATGTCTGTCTGTATTGTCCATTGAGGACGTTGAAGACACGTACATAAACAGGGTTTCTGCTTTTTGGAAATGGCAGGTACATGGGATATTGACAAATTAGGAAGACATCGGCAGCAGTTTCGGCAATAGTAAAGCTGCCTGCCTTATATGAAGGATTGCACTGTGCTTCGAGCTCTCACACTCAGATGCTTTGAGAGCTGAACCATAAGCTGGACGCAATTTCTGAGAACCGTGGGCCATTTGCAGCTCCTAGAACTTGCTGGAATGAAGGAATTGACCTTGGAGAAGGCTACAAGCAAGGACCGGCGGAATTACCACAAATCTGGCTGTTTAGATTCATCATTGAACGAACCAAAAAATCTGAAGGCAGACATGAAATCAGTAGAATCAGCCTGTCCCAAAACAAGTGTTGTTTATTTGAAACCAGCTCCCCCGGTAGTTTGAAGCCAACATGCATCATGGATCGGAAAATCCGATACTTAAATTATGCTGGTATCGGAGGCTGATACCGATACTGGATCAGATCGGCCCCATCCCTAGTAGAAAGTAGCAGTTTAGTTTATTTATATATATATATATATATATAAAAATAAAGGCAATTAAGCCCTTCCCACACTCTTGCAACATCCTAAACAGCGTTTCTAAACGCTCTAAAAGAGCACAGCATGTCATGATCTCAGCTCTCTGCCTCCTGCTGCACTTTGCCATCTGCAAGCGCTTTTGGCCACGCCCACTTCAGTGCAGAACAGAAATATGTCCAATCTTGTTTTGAAAAATCGTGATAAAGCGAAACCGTGATGAACGAACCGTTAAGTATCGAGGGACTACAGTAATAATAATAACCACCTTTATTTTACCAGGAAGGTCAACTGATAACCAGTTCTCATCTACAATGACGACCTGGCAGGTAAATGAAATTATGATTTGAAAACTGTATTTAGTATCAATTGTTTGCTGATCTGAAGCATTAAAATAAATATCTGTAAGGGGGGGATTCTTTTCACAGCACTGTATATGATGGGATATTACGTACATAGAAGTAATTTGCACAATATTTTGCATACCTACCAAAGTACTGAGCATGGCTTAGCAACTGGTTAGTAAAAGTATGAATCAATGTGGTGAAATTTAGCCTTTATTTCCTCTGCTGAGTGGTTCCATGGTTACAGCATCAATGGCTGCTTGTCAGAAGCAAATTACAATTACAAAGCAGATGGTCCGATAACCAGAAAGACCCCAAAGCAACCGAACAGTTCCCAAACTTTCTATTTATTCAGAAACCCCCTTTGAGCCAAAACATCTACAGTCTAACCACAAGAGCTGAAAAGAGTAATAGCAGCTTGTGCACTTTCTATTAGTATCTCAGAAAGATTAGCGCCATGCCTCAGCCCGGGGCATCGATGAGGCCGATGCTTTTGTTTGACTGTGTAAAGCTTTGTTGACAGCTCGGGTCCAATGGCCTGAAGCTCTTCGAGGAAATTAAAAGGCAATCAGCTGCACATAAAAGAACAAGTGCAGTGTGGTCATTTCTCAGCTTTAATCCTCATTTACTGAAGGTCACAAACAGCACATGAAAGATAAATAGAGAAAGAAAAGAGAAGGTTTGAGAGGAAGATGAAAGGCAGACAAAGAGAAACATTGGGCCAGGTGGAAACAAATGCTCATAAAGCAGAAAGAGAAATCAGGTTATTAATTAACCGATCTGAGACATTTTTAGATCAATAACTTGCCTATTTTTAGAACATGTTGTTTTGAACCATATCAATAAAGTGACAGCATGTGATAGGATCTTGCTATTTATGAGTATCTATTCAAACTTCAAGCATCTTTCCACTAAAACTTCCCAGTTGTACTTGAACGTCTCACCTCCGTTGAGGCTGGCCTCCACAAACACTCGTATCGCTCTGACGCACAGCTCAAAGTTGTCGGGGGTGACGTGAGCGGCGTCGCGGACGATGAAGGACAGTGTTTCCACACACTTGATGAGAGACTTGGTGTCGTGCTGGCCCAGGTCCTGGCCCAGAGTCAAACTGTACTGGTTCACCAACGGGTGATTCAGCTGAGCTTTGGAGTTTACATGGGGGGGCTTAGTCATCTCCAGATCATCTTTTCCAACCTAGAGATGAAAGAAAGTCATCAGGCTTTTTTAAACAAAGTCTGTGGAACTACCGTAACTTATGGTGTATAAGACTCTACTTTATTCTCATGCTTAGGACTCCATGGCTGGTACACAGGAGCAGCTGATTTATGTTTTCATTATTTAATTTTAATAATTTATTTTTATATTATATTTTGATAAGCTACTAAGCTTCCTGCCACTGGATATTGTTTTCCTTCGACACTCCTGGGTGCTCCTGTAGATGCCCAACACACAAAACTCTTGGGAGCAGGATTTGTTGACACAGTTAATGCCACAGGTATTCATGACATGTACCTCTCGCTCATAGTTCCAATGTTGCTACTAAATACCCATAGTCCCACTCTGTGGTCATGTGACCAGAAGTTACCCTAATGACCAATGAGGTACAGTACTCTCACGGAGTCATGAGAACACCCCCCAAGATAAAAGTGCATTGATCAGATTTCCTGTTTAAAAATATAATGGCTCCTTAAATAACATTATTAACTGACTACTTTTATTAGTTTATTAGTTATTACTACTATATTTATTTATTCCTTTATTTATTTATTCTTTTATTTATTTATTATTTTATTTATTTATTTATTTATTTATTTATTTATTTATTTATTTATTTATTTATTTATGTATTCCTTTATTTATTTATTACTATATTCCTTCCTTCCTTCCTTCCTTCCATCCATCCATCCATCCATCCATCCATCCATCCATCCATCC